GAAGGGCCATCGGGGGGGGGGAGCGGGGGGTGTTTCATTGTGAGAACCCCACTGGCTTCATTTAGCCAATGTTTACAGATGTATCCTGGGCCGCAGGAGAGCAGTTCAGCATCATGTCAAAACTACGATCGGTTTTCAGAATTGGCACCGCTGTGACGGAGGAACAGAGAGTCACTCGGAGGTTAAGAAAACGATCCGTTTCCAAATGGATGAAGGCTAACCCAAAAGACTGATGCTTAATGTGTATAATGCTGCGAATAAACAAACCTCGGCGAGTGTCCCCTTCTGCACAGCAGCCTTGCGCTTCTTTGAGTCCTCCAGCATTGCCAAAATGTCTCATGTATCCCTAAGAAAATAAAGAATTCAATAAATTAGTCGCTGTGTTGACCACAACCGAAGCCCTAAAAGCGAGCATGTGTGTCTCCGCCGAGCTGGTGGGCGACTTACGAGCAGAAAACATTTCAACATGGCACTCCATTTTACCAACTGATGGCAGGAACAGAATGTCTGCTATCATTTATGTATTCACTGTTGATTCTGTGAATGTAAGGGCCGAGAGCAAACGTTACGTTGTGCAGTGGCTCTGTGTACTAACCGAGTGGGATACTGACGATCATTTGCTTTGATATCAGAGTTTGCTAATCACTCGAGGTGATGGGACTCAGAATTATTACACTCCATCTGGAGTTCAACAACAGCAGATTTCGCATGCTAGTATTACTATCTTTACGGAGCAGTATGGATCGTTGTGAATGTGTGCGTGTGTGTTTGTGTGTCTCGGTGTGTGTGTGTGTTCCTTGTGGAATAATGTACCCCCTGAGGTGCTCTATCTCAGACAATACCTATCCATATCCCTTTTCTGGCGCATGTAGAGGCCCAGATGGTTTAGTATTCACTTCTCTGCCAAGCAGATGGATCTGCAATGTACTTCAATGGTCTCAATTATATATGCACAAAACTACCGAGAAGGAAACCAGAAGCAGAGAAGTTTAGGACCATGATTTCTCATATTGGCCACCCACCAAGCCTGGAGACCTCAGTAATGTCAACGTGTTCGAATGTTATGTGTAATTAATAGAAAAATGTACATCCCACAAGTGCTGCTTTTCTTCATTGAAACAACACAAAAAAACATTTGCCACAGTAGCTGCCAACAGATACATTTTGTAAATTTTGAAGAATGAGTATTTTTTTTAATAACCAAGGAATATGGCTAGTTCTGATAAAACCACGAAAAAAAAAGAAAGAAAGAAAATCAACAACCCATCTAAGTGTTACTGAGGAAAAAAAGAAGGTGAAATTCCCAACCTAGCTGAAAAGCTGTTAACTCACCAACACAAAAATGCTCTGTGTGGTACTTCACAGCCATTACACTGCAGCATGTACCACATTTTGGACTCACTCTTGCCTTGTGGACATAATAGAGCGTATCCATGTTGCTGTTATGTTTGGTTCTCAGTATCTTCAAGTGCAAACACTGGCCAAACTGATGTAAACACTTTCTGTTTTAATAGAGACTGGTCAGGCCCAGTCTAATTGGCCTCTGTTGATGGACAAACCCCAAACGGAGAAACCTGAGAGACATGAAGAGGATTTTCTTCACTCTTGATTCAGACGCTGCGACTGCCTAATTCCTGAGGCTAATTTTCAGTCAGATTGATTCATAATACTAATAATATTTAAAATAAATTTAACTGATTCAGCTATTTAAAATAGATTTTAATGCTATATGTCACTTGACCCTTACACTGCAGTTTTATTTCGATAAGGACATGATGAGAGCACAGTGAGATTTTTTTAACACTTAAATTGTATATTGTATTTAAAATGTATTGTATTGAATTGTATTTTAAAGTATATATTGTGTGCAGTTCCTTAGTGGTTGTAACATTTAAATAAGCTTAGTAATTAAACCTTGTCAGGTTAAAATCACAGGCATAATTCTCCAACATCTACAGCGAGACAAATAAGTGTTAGCATTGCTACTTCTTGTTACACTTGTGTAGACATGTCAAGGCTTGTTTTCTTCATGCATTGACATTTTTAAGTAAAAACCTGTCAAATGGAACTTCAGTATTTTTGGTTAAACAAATTCTCAGATGGGCGTCACTTAGACAACACAGTTTTCTGCTAAAGCCAGCTGCATTCTACATTTTGTTACGAATAAATACAGTCTATAGAGTTGTCTCAGCTGTCATATATACATTCTTTCAAGTGCTGGAGTTCAGCAAATTCCAAAAGCAGCTTTGGTTCTGGCTGCAATTGCAAACAGTTGACGGGTCAGTGGACTCTCTGCACTATCCTCTTGAAGGCAGGCATCAAACACGGTGTAATTAAATGGCTGTAATTACCACTATGCCATTTCAAATGTCCAGCGTTCCTGCATTATAATCAAAAAGCAACAAATACCCAAAGCCACATGGAGAGGTCAGTGCTCATTTACTAAAAAGGGAAGAACTTCATCTCAAATGACAAATGAAATGCTGTCTAGACTTTGAATAGTTATTCTTGTTATTGCTCGGCAAGATGGCATGGGAACAAAAAAATAATTGGTTTTAAGTCTGCAAGTTTCAGCTGATCAACTTGATGACAAAAAATCTAACTATAAATCTACAATCAACCTCTATATTGTCAAATTCTGCATTCTTAAATTACCCTAGCTCTCAGTGGTAGCCTACCTGTCATTGAGCCTGAGTATTAAATAATTATATAAATAATTATAAAATTATTCAAAATTGTAATCTTATTTATTTATTCATTTATTTGTTTGTTTGTTTAGGCAACACTCCAGTGATGATGAAAGGAATGAGTAAATATCGCGTTCTCTAATTTTTGTATCGTTAATTCCTTTACCTGTAACACCGTGTCTACTGCGACGCGGTGTAGACACGGTATACGAGTTCGGGGTCTAATAATTAGGCCTATTAAATTATTAAATATTGTAATCGAATTAACTGCATGATATGCTAATTAACCATATTTATCTCAATTAAATATAGGCCTATTTCAATTAAAAACACGCATAGGAAAATTATCAAATTAATCTTGCGTGTGCGCGCTATTTTTTTTATCGTTAGCTCTAAGTCTAATAATTGTTATGAATATATAATTTAAAAAAAATAAAAATATTAATATATATAATATATAATAAAAAAATAATAAAAAAAACACCCAAAGGAAGATGATGAAATCAATGAGGAAATCTGGCGTGTGTTCGTTTTTCTTCTTTTCTAATCATTAGTTCGTCTACCTGTTTGGCTTCGCTGTTGCAGTTCGGCGTCTCTTGAGCATGCGTCGTGAAATGAAGAGCCGCGTTTTGAAATGGCGTGTCAATTGTCAAGTTTAAAGCACCTCAATTTGTGAAAACACGTCTCCAGACTACTACTTTAGGTACAATTTCGCTTTTTAACGAACGGAATATCCCGTACTGTGTGAACAGCAAAATCAATTTGTACTTCCAGCTTCAGAAGGTAGGAAAATTTACTTCCTCGTTAGGGAATTTACATACGGGTCATTGGAAATGATTAGGCCTAAATATGTCGTTTTTTAAAAAAAAAACAATATTTACAAAAACATTTTAATTTACTTATTTTTACATATTTAACACATAATTTTTAATCGTAATATATTAAAATGTTTTTTTTTAAAGCCAGCCCTGCTTTCCATGACATAGCCTAATACGCTGCTTCTAATAAAACAAACTTCAAAAAGAAGATAATGCCCAAATACCAAGTTCAAAGTTAGTGCCAACTATGCTTTCCACTGTGTAGCCTCCCACAATATCTAAATATGGCTGCATAATTAGAAACCATTGTGTAAAATAAATAAATATTACATTTTAAAACTAGACATTACAAGTTCGAGCATCAAGACATTTTTTTCCAACTGTGAGCATAAGCTTTGAATCCAAAAGCAAGCTGAGCTTCAGACATTCGTATAGGCTGCATAGTTTGCCTTTACGTCTGCACCCTTTTCACAAGTGCTTTCTGAATGAGCTCCTGTGTCTGATTCCAGCTATGACTTCCTCGTCAAGCGTCTGCTTCAGCACACACATCAGCACCCTGCTGTACCATTGTGGCCTGTATTCTCATTTCCACACTAGGCATTCCATCTACATTTGGGCCATTACAATGGTGGCCCAGCATGTTTTCTCCCCAATTCAGCTTAGCCTCTTCAGACTCTTCCATTCCTGTCCCTACATATTTTCTTTGAAATGACATATCATGTCTAGTTATTTAGAAGTATTTTAAGGAATCATATACCCAGGGATCTGATGTAGGTTCATGAATAATACTTTTCGAAGATGTTTTAGGTCATTTTAGGTCATAGGCCAACATAATTTGCAGGATGACGTAAAGCTTTATGGAAAGTTTTTTAGCACACATCTAAGTTTTCTTAAAGTCACCTGAACAGACCATTACACATAGACATCTTAGACATCATAGCTTGAATGGAGCTTCAGGTATTCATATTCTAAGATAGAGTTGCTGCCATACATGCAGTTCAATGGCAGCCATGGAGTGGGACTCTGTGGGACTTAGCAGCAGGAACAACACACCAGGCCCTCAGATAATGGACTCGCTGAATGTCTACCATCTGGTGTTTGTTTAATACACAAGGTCAAACGGCCAGCGATCCTTTTCTACTCTACTGCATTCACTTCTTAGATTGGGGAAATCATTGATTTTACCCCACTGCCGGATGATCTTTGTGTGTTGGAGCTCAGTATGACAATGACAACAACCTTATTGCTTAAAACAGCACTCCGTAGGACTGAAACAACCTGAATTCAGCTTGGTAAGTGAATGCTCAGTGGTGTGTCTTTGCTTTGATTGAGGCCCCCAGACACAAATTCACCTCATGTCTTCATACATTCAGGAAGGCTTGAATTATTGGACTTTCATTTGCTTTGATATCCCTTGCTTATCCGGGGTGGTTGGGTGCTTTACGGCTCGGCGGTTACTCTCATGTTGAAATTCATCCTTTATATTACCCTTACCAGGCATTCCGTATATTGTTTTATTACGAATCTCTAGGTAAATCTACGCAGTCGTTGCCTTTCCATGACATCTTATAGGGCCTTGTGGTTTTGAAAGAGTGAATGGAGGCTCATTGCCTCTTTCAGTTTTATTCATGAGGTGCTCGGTTGCATCATGTACCCAGGCGCGTTTGGCGGTGTCCTCATCGGTGGAAGTTACACATGCTAATGATCTCTTAAGTGCTAGACTGGAGAGTAAACCATGACTAACTGCAGAGCTGAGAGAGAACGGGACACATGCACTGTCTCACTTGGCAACAAGGCAGGCTTTCCTCTCAAATGTGAGGCAACTAAATACACTTAATTGAGAGTGAGTGGACATAGAGAACAAGGGTGAGGAATACAAGCTGTAACTTGGATTTACTTGATTACGAAAACAAATTTAAGGACCGTACTCTTTACAGTTGTTAATGAGAGATTTAATTTCATGCTAATGAGCTGGAAATATATTGTTACAACCGGAAGTAAACAGAAATAGAAACTTCTTTCACCATCGATTAAATTAATCCTACTACTACAAAGAGCATCATTATGTGGAGGCTTAGTCAAATCTGAGAGGGTGGGAAAATTGTGTCTTTTTTCTTCATGCAACCACAGAAGAAACTTGCTTTATCGAAAGATGATATGAAGATGATTAATGCATTGGCACCTCACATGAGGAGCCAGTCTGTAATGCCCTAAGCCTCCTCATAGCACAGGCCTCCTCAGGAGGGAAACAATGCAGCTCATTAGGATGGGCAGGGCTTCTCAGAAGCGCACAATGCTTACAACCTCCACAAGCAGGAAACAACTTTGAGCCCGGTCCCAGGAGGTCAGTAGCAAAAGTGGCAAAATCATTTAAATCTCCTTAATGAACTGTTAATAGGTCAGGTGCCTATTTGTGCTAGTCTGAGCCCGCCTCCCCCTTAGTTCCTGTGTCAGTCTGCTGGATCTTCAGCCAGTCAGGAAGTGGGGGGAACAGGTCAGGAGGTTGCACTTAAAACCCGTTCCCATGGAAATAAATGCTTGTATATTCACACTGTGTTTCTAAAAGTGTAGCTGAGAAAATTACAGCGTTACACATATATTTATCTCTTATGCAACAAATGTGAATTGATAGCTGTAAGCACCCTGATGATATATGAAATCCAGTGCATGATTTGTGTCCATATGTTAGGCAGAGGTATAGAGTATATCACAGATCATGGCTGTGTGTTTAGTAATTTTCTTGTTGTGGTCGTACTTTACTTTTGTTACTAATAGCAGGTCAAATCCTCAGTAGCGGAGTGAAATAGCACTTTGAATTGGATAAGTGTTTTCGCTGCAAGACCAACTCGATCATTTACTCGACATAGAGGCCACTGTGATACTGATATTTTTTGCAAGAAAAGTTTCAAGTCTTTAGCCAGCATTATCTTATATGGGTTTTAATTACAGTATTGTGTGAAATTCAAATGAAGCCTTCGGGGGATTTCATTATTTAATCAAGCAAGTTCTGTCTAGAATCTTTGGACTGTTTTCCTCTTATAAGCTTTTTCACATTCACTAGCATTAAGCTAATGAAACTCTTACTGCTGTATTTTGTGTCCTGGGATCTAGCACATATTTCCCAAATGCGCTGATTTCATAAATATAGTTTACCACTTGTGCATAAGGTTGATTGACATTCGTGTTTTATCAGTTCCTCCTGTTTTTTTTTTTCCTGTTCCCTTTTTGTTTTGTTTTTTGTTTGTTTTTTTTTGCCTAGATAAATGTAAAGCAATGTAAATGGATATAGACATAGTACACTCACTGTTTAGTAAGTGTCTTTTTCATTGATCAAAACACATCAGTGGAGATTTATCCATGTATATTTTTAACAATTGATGTTCAAAATTCTAATGGGCAAACAAAAATTAAGATATCAGCTGAAGAGGTTTTCAAGCTCTGGTTCAATTAATTATTCAAAGATTTTAACATTTTTACAATACACCAGAAGAAACCATTAACCCTTTTTAAAGTATTTTTTAATTTCAATTTGCACTGCAGAAACATTGATGAATTTGATGAGGGCTGGGGATTTAATGTTGTCCCACTGGGAGGAATTATTTGATTCTAAAAAGACACATCATAATGGAAAATGTGGAATGAAGGAGATTGCAATAGATTGCTGTAATTCAGACTCTTTGGCAACGTCTTAAATCATTGCTAGCTCCAATCCCAACCATAAAAGAAACGCTTGACTACAGTGAGAACCACTGTACCACTTTTCACCACAGGTAGCAATATAATGCAGCCAGTGATTAATTTTAATTAAACACATTTTGGAAAATGATATTGAATGCTTGAACCCCTGGTGCTTTAATTACTTTATTGCCTCTCAGCTCTAACTCTGAAATGCTTTGGCTGGATGACATACTGGAATATATCCTAAAAAAAAAAACTCACAGCTGGCATGCAGAGAGCTTCTTCTGATTTCTGTAGTGCATTTGCTATAAGGGTGATACAATCCAAGTATGCTGAAAATTAATACCACTAAGAATGCTAATTTGCTCACAGCCTAAGAGCTGTTTTATATTAGCTGTGAAATTAAAGAGAACATCTAACCCATACTGTTGACATACAGCTGCTGTTATTCAGTTTATTGTCAAATAATTGCAAACAGTGACGTAAGCAGGTTTTTTGACCTCAGAAGGTCCCTAACTTTGTCATACCTCTGTTCCCATTAGACTTCGCAGACAGCTAGAGAAAGTGAAACATCCTCAAGACACTTGGGTTAAGGCTCACCTTAAGTGCGGTTAAGGAGGGACAGAGAGGCCAGAGCCTTGAGTTTGGTCCTCATGAGCTGTAATGACCTGACAAAAGTCAGGATTATTGGATGTGCAGAGAGACAAATAGCGTGTACAAAGCGTTTGGCCTTAAGCCTCTTGAAGATCCTCAGCCCAAACAAGACAATTCCAACAAGACCTTTACCCATCCTTTGTCTATGGGCAGAGAAGTTGAAACAGTTCAATGGGAGGATTACCCCCACTTGAGCTGTTCTGAGAGAGATGAATTGATAAGTTCCTGTTGGGGTTAAACCAGGTGAGAGCAGCTATGCAGATGCTTTTTGTAAGCAGTTCTGGGATGGTCAAAGAGGAAGTAGTTTCACCACGGGGGAGCTGTTTGTAGTCTTTAACTCAGATGTGTGTCATGTAACGACAGTTAAAGACGTCTTCTTTAGAATCAATTGGCAAAACTGAATTTGTGCATTGTCCTAATTTTTTCTTAAAATCAAAATTGATTTTGCATCATGATTTTACTTTGATTAAAATATTTTTTAGAAAAGAATAAAATTTTATTCCATTTAATAATATCCACAAAGATATGTAGCTAGTGGCATACATTATCTGGAAGCCCGCGTGTCTTGTAGTCAAAACAGCATTTTACTATTGCGCACTGATACACTAGTGTGTATCAAAAGAGAGTTCCGTAAACTAAGCCGTGCTGGTCT